GTAAATGTAAGTATTTTTTGGTATATTTATTTCATTTTATAGATGTAAGTATTTTTTTGGTTCAAAAAATGTTAGAGGCTTAATGGTTCAAAATATGAAAGTCTATTGAATTTTTTTCTAGATTTTTTCTATTTTTTACCACATTAACATAAGGATGTATATAACAAGTTTAAAAAAGTTCAAGAAGTTATTTAACATGTTTTGGTATGTACATGAATTTATTTGTTTTAAAAAATTGTCAAAAAGACTTAATCATTCTAAACACTAAAGTCCGTTGGGTTTTTTTAGACTTTTTCCAATTATTCAATATCGGTCAAAATGAAATACACCAATACTGAAAAATGTTTTTTGTAAGTTATATAAAAACTAGTATTATATTTCTTATGTTTTATATATGTAACAACACTTTGATAAATCTTTTTAATAAAATATTTACCATCAGTTAAAAAATTTATAGTTGATAAAACTGTTTTTATTTATGTTGTGTATAATTAAACGGTATCTGATTTTCTTTTAAAATTCATATTTGATTACACTAATTAATGATTTAAAAAAAAATTGTGAAATGTGGTAACAAGCAAGGGTCATGAAATTGGTATTAATATTTATGAAATGTAAGAAAATATTCCATTAAATTTAAATATAATACAATGAGTTGTTTTAATTTAATTATGTAAACAGAACTGAGTAATTTTGTTTATTTCATTCGTTTATATAATTATTTAACATACTATATTGTTTTCGTTTACATCTCATTGTTGTTTTCATCCCATTGGTTTATAATTTATTGCTTGTTTTAGTCGACGGACAGGAACGAAAACAACAAAGAGTCGCAACCCATAAGTACGAAAAACGTAATTTCAAAATGCTTTGGGACGGAAAACGTAGTTTTTATTCAAATTACTAACAACTTCATGTGCATAAGCGCGCACTGGTGTATACACAAGTATACATATACAAGAATGGGTGACAATTTCTAAAGAGAATGTATGTGTTTGATCCTCTGGATAGCTTGCTTTACCTTAAACGATGGCTCATCATACAAGAACCCACCCTCATCAAGTTGTGCTGCCATGCTCGGTTCTCCCAGAAAAGCACGGAAAGATTCTGCAACGGAAGTCGAAAGAGACTTGAGATTGTATCCTCCTTCCAAGAAAAATACGCATCGACCACCACACATCTCCTTTGCAAGTTGCTTGATGCTTGATGCAAGCATGTAGTATGTTCCTGTCGTCAACTGGAAGTTCGCCAACGGATCCAGTACATGCCCATCATATCTGAACCAAAAATTCCATTTACAAGTTATCAAGGGTATCTTAGACATTTGACTAGTGTTCGACCAAAAGAAGAGATGGTTAAGGAAACTGACCCTGCCGACACAAGAATTATATCGGGCTTAAATCTTTGGGCAGACGGTACAATTACTTGATCAAACACGGTTCGCATGGCTATATCGCCTGAACCTCCTGCTAATGGCAAATTCAGTGTTGTTCCTTCACCATTCCCGCACCCTATATTATCAATTTTCCCAGTACCAGGGTAGCTTCCATCCTGAAACAACATAGTAATAAATCCCTCCTTCGTTTTTTTCTCATAACCAGAAAGACTATATATATAGGGTTGAGTTCCGGTGAGAAACGTAAGAAGGGATCTCCACCCTTGAATGTACGTTAGGATGAGATGCACCAAGATGAAATGCACCGAGACGCACCGGATCAATTCCCGTGAGAAGCGCAATTCATGGGTGGGCAAGAGATTAAAAGTAATCCAATCCTACGCTTCACTTTAACTTTCTTTCTCACGCGATCCTTCGCCTATATATATATATATATATAGTGTTGTAGATATAAATAAAAAGAAGTGTATATATATAGGATTGGATTCCGGTGAGAAACGAAGCTATAGTGAGAAGTGTAAGAAGAGATCTCCACTCTTAGATCAATCATAATTGTATGTCACTACTAATGAGGTGCACCAAGATGCACCGGATCAATTGTTTTCAAAAGTGCAATTCATGGGTGGACATGAAATTACAAGTGACCAAGGGTTCAGATATTTTCTTACGCTTCTCACCATAACTTCCTTTCTCACACGATCCTTCACCATATATATATATATATATAAACAATGTGAAGTTTGTGAAAAGATTACCTTTTACTTATTCAGAAAGGATATGTAGACGATGTAGAAAGCTAATTACAGAAACTATGAGATACAATTAAGGATTGCTAATCAATCAACTACAATCAAGGATTTCTAATCAATCAATTAAAATCAATTATATCCTAAAATAGAAGACTATAACAATATCTAAATACCACTAGAAGCTTGTACTGTAATATCTCACGGTCTATTACGAACGAGCAGCTTGTACTGTAAATTTTTGAAACAAGAACCACTGACGGCTTTGGTGAAAATGTCGGCAATTTGATCAACTGACTTGACATGGTGAACCACTAGCTCACCAGACTGAACTTGTTCACGCACAAAGTGATAATCAAGTTTAATGTGCTTGGAGCGTTGATGAAACACTGGATTAGCTGTGAGAAACGTTGCATTGAGGTTGTCACACAAAAGGATAGGTGGTCCATCCACGGAAGTTGTCATTTTTTTTAGAAGTTGTTGAAGCCACATAAGTTCCGCTGAAGCAAAGGCAATGGTTCGATATTCAGCCTCGATGCTAGAACGAGCTACTACCTTTTGCTTTCGGGACGACCAACTGACCAAATTCCTCCAAAATAAATGGAGAAACCATATCCAACCAGCATCAGTAAAACAAACTAACATCGAGTCTCTAGATGGACAAAAAATAAAACCGGCATCAATGGTGCCGTTAAGATAACGCAAGATGCGTTTGACTGCAGCCCAATGGCGCTCAGACAGGCTATGTATAAACTGACAAACCCGATTAACAAAGTAAGCAATTTCAGGACGAGTAATGGCCACATACTGTAATGCACCAACAATGCTTCGGTATAAGTGTGGTATGGATGCTTAGCGGTGGTTGAGAGATCCCTTGTCGCCGACAAAGAAAAGAAGGTAGAACCAATGGGCCCTTAGCCGCCTCTATGTAGTACATAGTGGTGTCGCGAAGGAGTGAAGAATGCCCCTTTCCTCCCCTTAGTCCATAGGAAGAACTGGACGACCAAATACAAGCACTGACTTCCAAAAATAGATAGCCTGCCTCTCTCTTTCTTGCAGCTTACGAACCCGCCTTTCCCCTGAAAACAAGATTTATGCAGAAAGGTAGCGAACTCTTTTTGCTCAAGAGTTAAATAAAGATAAACCAAACCACCCGAAGAGGAAKGAAAGCTTCAAATCGAGTTCTCTCTAGTAAAGAAGTGGATTTCCTTAAATTTAAATAAGGAAAGGCAATAAAAAAGTACAGAGGTCTTGTGAGGCGGTCATTGGATCGCCACCCACATACAACCTGAAGCCGGGTTCTGCGGGAGAAGCTATGGGTTTGGCTCCCGTCATTTTGCTTCGTTCAAGAAGATCCAATATATACTTCCATTGTGACAACAAAAGAGAGGATGAAGAGCGATGCACTTCAATGCCTAAAAAGAAAATAAGAGCGCCTAAATCCTTCAAAGAGAACACAAAATTAAGGTATTTGACAAGATCATCAATAAAGGAGGATCTAGAGCCCGTAATGATAAGATCATTATTAAAAATTGTGGGAAAATGTAAAAATGTAAATGATTATGTATTTAATGTAAGAGTAATTGGAGCCGATTATAATCCCATAATACTAGTGATTGTAGGCAATCCCATAAAATCAGGGATTCATAGAATAGTTTCCTTTTCTTTCCCTTTGCCTTGTGTATTTATACTGTATGCTTCTCTCTCAAGAATGAATAAGAAACATAGCAGAATTCCTAAATTTGTTATGGTAGCAGAGCTATCGAAGCTTAGGAAGCCTTTTTAGCCTTCATAAACCTTCTTTGAAAATTTCGCAGGCCTTCATTGCCTCCTTCCTCTGATTCCTTTTTTTGGCCTTCATTGCCAACAATTCCTAACCCAAAATCGAAAGAATGATAGAACCCAAATCAGAATCTGCCATGTTTCTCAACCAGGAGATTTACAGCACATCCATGCATCATACCGATTGGATGGAAAGAACTATCTCAAATGGTCCCAACTAGTTCGAACCATCCTGAAAGGGAAGGGAAAAATCAGTCATCTCACCAGAACTCCACCCAAGCAAGAAGATCCCAAGTTTGAAGCATGGATGAAGAAGATTCCCTGATCATGGCGTGGTTATGGAGTTCTATGATTCCTGAAATAAGTGACACTATGATGTTCATGGTTAATGCCAAAGGGATCTGGGATGCAATTAAGCAAACGTACTCTAAAGCAAAAGATGCAGCTCAGGTTTATGAAGTGAAAGTCAAGACTATGGCAGCAAAACAAGGAAGCAAAACAGTAACTGAGTATGCCAATCAATTAAAATCATTGTGGCAAGAACTCGATCATTATAGAATAATTAAGACCAATTGCTCTAAAGATGCGGCGATACTCAAGGACTTCATTGAACAAGATTGAACAAGACAGAGTTTATGACTTCCTTGTAGGTTTAAACTCCGACTTTGATCAAGTAGGGATTCAAATCCTTGGAAAATCTGAAGTATCTTGCTTTAATGAAGTGGTGACTATTGTTAGAAGCGAGGAGAGCAGGAGAACCTTAATGCTTGAGACCCCTCCAATGAATGGCTCGGCAATGATGGCCGAAAATGTCAAGATAGGGAAAATAGAACCAACTACGAATCTGGATCCGGGAAAGGTGATCAACTCAGGACTCAAAATCGAGATGGGTTATGATGCACTTATTGCAAAAGGCACGTCACACCATGGAGAAATGTTGGAAGTTACATGGCAAACATCCAAGCCAAGAGTGGGGACATAAAAGTGCAACGGCTAGAGAAAAAGGACAAGCCCATGTTGCAATCGATCCAACCCGAGAAGAAATCAAACAAGAGCCAGCAAACCTTAATCAAGAGGAAGTGGAAAAGCTCAGGTCATTTTTCAGCACTCTGAAAAACCTTCTGGTGGTGGATACTCATTCTGAGGTACTTGTTTTTTAACCTGTGAGCATCCTTTTTCATTTGGATTTAATGTCTCATGTTCAACCCTAAAATACTCCTGGATCATTGATTCAGGAGCAACTAACCATATGACTCACTCTTCCAAACACTTCTCCACATACTCACCTTGTCCAAATAACAAGAAAATTGCCACTGCTGATGGAACTCAAACTACCGAAGCCGGTATAAGAGATATCCAACTCAGCTTATCCATTCTTTTAAAAAATGTTCTTCACGTCCCAAAATTGTCCACTAATCTGATTTTCGTAAAGAAACTAGCACGAGATTTACCTTGTCAAGTGGTATTTTGTGACGAATATTGTTTGCTTCAGGAAAAGGATTTGGGGTAGACGATTTGACTTGCTACAGAAAAGGATGATCTATATTGTCTTGTGATGCCAAAAAGTACCAAATTATCTCACTCTCTCGTATCAAAATCTGTTCTTTCCAATAAAGAAAAAAAATCATATTTCATCATTGTCATTTAGGTCATCCTTTATTTAGGATTATTAAAGTTATTTTTCCTTATTTGTTTAAAACAATCTGTAACAGCCTAGTTTCTTATTAAATAAATCTCAAATTTCAGCCTTAAATACACATATTTATACAAAAACAAATGCTCCAGCAGCTGCTACATATAGAAAGTAAGCTAGTGATGACTTGTTAAAGCTAGGAGTGTGTTGGCAAGTCTAGTAAGCATGACTAAGCAAGCTAGTGATGAGTTGTTAA